TCGTGCTAAAATATAGATAGCTTAAAAGCTGCAATATGTAGCAATCAAATAGCTATAGACTTTTCGTTATCTTCTAGCTAGCTAAATCACAACTATATGTAGCTATCGACATTTCGCATTCAAATCGATAGCTAAAAAGCTGCGATATGTAGCTGTCGACATATCGTAATAAAATTCTTATTTTTAAAGATCTATTATTATTAACATTATTTATGGCGACCTTGTAGCTAGCTACAAAGGCTTACAAATATGAAACTAACAATAAATCGTAATAAAATTGTTGTCAATAAAACCGCATTATATAGCTAGCAAGTAGCTATCGATTTGTAGCTGCCTTGTAGGTAGCTATAAAGCTACAATATGTAACTAGCGATAAATCGTAATAAAATTGCTATCTAAAAACTACGATATATAGCTAGCGACTAACTATAGATTTATTGCTATCAAACAACCAGCCACACAAATGCGATATGTAGCTAGCGTCATATCGCAATAAAATCGCTATTTATAAAACTGCGTTACGTAGCTATCAACTAGCTATCGATTTTTGGCTACCTTGTAGCTAGCTACAAAGCTGCGATACGTAAATAGCGATAAATCGTAATTAAATCGATAGCTAAGAAGCTATTGAATAGCTATAGATATATCGCTATCTAGTTGCCAGCTAAACAAATGCAATATATCTAGCTAGCGTCATATCGTAATAAAATCGCTGTCTATATATGTCTATAGGTCTATAGCTATCAACTAGATACGTAAATTGCGATAAACCGTAATTAAATCGATAGCTAAGAAGCTGTGATATGTAGCTATCGAATACCTATAGATATATCGCTATCTAGTTACCCAGATAAACAATTGCAATATGTAGCTAGCGTCATATCGTAATAAAATCGCTGTTTAAAACTGCGTTACGTAGCTATCAACTAGCTATCGATTTTTGGCTACCTTGTAGCTAGCTACAAAGTTACGATACGTTACAAGCGATAAATCGTAATTAAATCGATAGCTAAGAAGCTGCGATATGTAGCTATCGAATAGCTCTAGATATATCGTTATCTAGTTGCCAGCTAAACAAATGCGATATGTAGCTAGCGTCATATCGTAATAAAATCGTTGTCTATAAAACTGCGTTACGTAGCTATCAACTAGCTATCAATTTTTGGCTACCTTGTATCTAGCTATAAAGCTGCGATATGTAACTAGCGATAAATCGTAATAAAATTGCTGTCTGAAAAAATGCGATAAGTAGCTATCAACTAGCTTTCGATTTGTGGTTATCTTGTAACTAGCTACAAAGCTACGATACGTAACTAGCGATAAATCGTAATTAAATCGAAGTTTTAAAAGAGCTCGAAAGATTAAAAAAAAGTATATATCAAGATGCAGTAAATGAAAAGCTTGGATATGATGACTTACAGCATGACTTGTGTAATTTATACAAACCTATTATCGATAGTCAATCTGGAATAAAAGAAAACCTAGCTAAATTAGAAAATAAAGCTGAATTAGCTATCACTCTATCAAATTATCCTGCAATAATGGATATACCTGCTATATTTGATATGAAACCTGATAGTAAAATAATTTCATTAGGAACTATAGCAACAAATTATTTAAAGTCAGCCTATAGTAATAAAAAGGCAGCAGATTTTACATTTGGTATAAACTCAAAAGATGGAAAATTGTATTTAGGAATAAAAACAATGTTAATTAGTAATAATGATATAACCATTGATGATAAAAAATATATTGAAACTACTGATCTTTGGGAATTGTTAACAAAATCTAGTCCTGATAAAAATATATATAATGAAGATGATCTCGAAAATTATAAAAGTATATTGAAAGAAACAGATGCTTTTTTCTTAATTTCTTCTAGTAAATATCCAGGAAAACCTAGACTATCTAGAAGTGAAAAATATAATAAGATAATAAAACCCATTTTGGAAGAGATAACTGGAAAATCTGGAAAAAGAGTCATCTTTCTTCCTCGCAGTCCAGATGCATTATTTGAAAAGCTTTGTACGCCTATAGCTGCATTTGAAGCAGGTAATACTGGAGTTAGAAATGAAGCTGTTTCAATTATTGATGAATTATTGCGTCAAAGTGTACTGGAAAATTAAGAATATAAATCAATACAGAACAATTTTAGATTTAAATAAAAATAATAAGTAAATAAAAATGTTAATTGTTGAGAAAAAGCTTTTAAAAAGCATTTTGTAAGTGGAAGTGGTATATTCGATGGTATTAATAATGTATATAATTGAGCAAAATCTTCAGATTTTGTTAGAGCATTATCTGGTATGAAGACTATGTTGACTAACCATTTTAGAGATAAATAAGGAATCTGGATTTATTAGAAATAAATTAAATAAAAATAGTAAGTAAATAAAAATGTTGATTGTGAAGAAAAGAGTTTTTAAAAAGCATTTTGTCGATGGAAGTGGTATATTTAGTCGTTTTAGAGGCTTACTTTATAATAGATCGATTAATAATGCACTTAAAATATCACGTAATTTAGCTAATAAAGCTGTTTCTAGTGATTTAGGAAAAACCGCAATAGATGCTGCAAAAGTAGCAGGTAAAGAACTAGCTACAAATGCAATCTCTACTGCTAAAGATATTATAGTAGAAAAAGGAAACAAGTTGATTAAAAAATCAAAGTTTAAACCTGAGAGTAAACAAGTACTTGCAAATTTAGTTGAATCTGGAGCTAATGATCTTGCTCAAAATCTAACTAATGAAGTTACAACAAATATAAATAAATTGATAATGGGATCTGCAAGACCGTCTAAAAAATTAAGCCATTCAAACGCTATTAAACTAGAAGAATTAGTAAAGATGGGAAGAGGATTAAAAATGGTATAATATTTTTTCTAAAATTTTCATTAATAAAAAATTAATGAAAATGAATTGAAAAAAAATGTTATATATATAAAAATGGCAGATTATAAAAGTTTAAATTTAACAGAGCAACCCTTTATTGATGGAAGTATTTCCAGATTTCAATTTGGAGAATATTTTCCTCAACCTGGTATAAATATAAATGATACAGTACCAATAAAAATTAATATTAAGATGACAGATCTATTTTTTCTACTATCTAAAGCTTATTTACAATTCGAAGGAAGACTTCAAGCAGCAAGTGGTGCATCCTATACTAATACAGATGTAGTTACAGTTACACACAATGGAATTATGCATTTATTTAGTAGAATGGAATATGATTTATCAGGACAGAACATAGAAACAGTAAATAATTTAGGCCAAGCAACTACAATGTTAGGAATGCTTAGGTATTCAAACAACTTCCAATTAGCGGAAGGATTAAATCAACTATGGTGCAAAGATACTGTAACAGATGCAAATTTGACTACTAATGTTGGATTTGCAGTAAAGCAAGCATACATTATTCAAAAACATACTACAAAAAAAACATTTTCATTTATTATACCTTTAAAGCATATTTTCGGATTCTGTGATGATTATACTAAAGTACTTTACGGATTTAAACATACATTAACTCTACAAAGAAAAAATGACAATGATGCTATTTTTTGATCTGCTGCAGCAGCTATAGGAAAAGTAAATCTTACAAAAGTATTATTATCGATGCCTTATATCACACTATCAGATACAGAGAGACTTAATTCTGATAGTGTTATTAGAGAAAAAGTAACAATTCCAGTAGCTTTATATTCTAGATCATGTGAAACTATTGCACCTCAACCAACAACTAAAATGACTTGGAAACTTGGTGTTAAAAGCGATGAAAAACCTAGATACATTATCGTAGGATTCCAAACAAATAGAGATAATGATCAAACACAAAATGCTTCAATATTCGATCATTGTAACTTGAAAAATATGCAAGTTATGGTTAATAATGTAAGATTTCCTGAAGTTGATTATGAACTATCATTTCTAAATCAACAATTTTCAAGAGCTTATAGAGATGTATCTACTTATAAAGAAAATTTTTTGGAACCAATGAAATCATTTCAAATTGTAACATAACACCTTCAGACCAGTGCCGTGCCAAGAGCCCCCCAAACCCCCGGTTGGGGGTGGCCGTGAATTTAAAGGGGCCCTTCTATGCAGTATGCAAATTTTTTTTTTGAGATGATGACTAAATTAAAATTATGATATAAGTGGTTTTTTCTTAATATAATGTTAAAACCTATTAACGTTTTCTAATTTTTTTAAATTCGCTTAACCTAACGAAAATGATATTGTATTTGCTGAGTTAATGGACGTTTTAAATTAGTTAAACTTTTGTTTAGAATGTTTCGCTTTTGTTTATGCTAAACTTATTGAGAAGTATGCTATTGTATTGCTAAGTTAATCTATACTTAATTTTACTTAAACTTTTGTATACAAAACTCCAAATTATTATTTGATTCACACTTTTCAAACTCAAGTTTTTCACGGGTTTTTTAATTGTATTTAGTAGCAAGCATTTATTTGTATTTAGATACAAGGATTTTAATTGTATTGTATTTGTAGAAACGATTCAAGTTGTCTACATAAAAACACTTTTAAGTAAGCAGAAATTAATTTGTTTATATAGTTTGTAAATAATATATAAGCAACATTTTAGTGGTTAAGTTTTATCAGCAATGGATGATACTTTTTGCTTTTTCATTACTAAATTATAACATTAATAAGAATATATTTTTTACATAATATTTAAATGGATTTCCTAATACACATTCTTTTCCAATAACATTAGAATTTATTATAAAAATTTTGTAAAAAAAATGTAAAATTATCTGTTGTTAACATTGTGTTAAGTATTTAAAAATACTTATGCATAATTTGCACGCGCATACAAATGTGCATGCAAAGTGCATGCAAAAAAAATCTTTTTTTCTTTTTAAACCCAAACCTTATTTATAATAATATATAGTTTTTATAGATTGTATACATTTAAAATACTGTAATACAGTCTAATACTATGAATAAAAATCATGTAAATCTATTTTTCATTTTAGATAATGAAGCCTTCAAAGTCAAGTGCAACTAAAAGAAAAGAGGCAGCAGCAACAAAAGATGCAATTAGCAAACTTCCCAAAGTTACATCATTCTTTACACCTATTCCAAGTAATTGCACCAGCAATGAAAAAAATTGCTCTAATGAAGTGGTCATTCATGAACAGTTAGATATTGCGAATAATCAACCTAACGCAATAGAAAAGTTGTACACTCTACCATTGCCACCGTTTAGTTCCGTTGCTTGTGACCCAGCCAGCTGGTCTGAACAAATTTCTGATGCTCAACGATGTGACCTAGTCAAACGTGGTTCTCAACAGGTTGATATTGACTTTCCATATATTATTGCTGCAAGGCGTCGATTTTCAACGGTTCATTACAAGCGTGTGATGAATAATGGAGAAACTGTGCCTCGCTCATGGCTTGTGTATTCGGTAAAATCTGACAAGATTTTTTGTTTTTGCTGTAAACTTTTTGAAACAAATGAAAGTCCGTTTCGTAGTGGTACTAGTACATGGGAAGGACTATCAAAGAAGTTAAAAGACCATGAAACAGGAACATCCCATCAAAAGTGTTTTAGACAATGGATGCAGCTTAAAGAGGGTATCAACAATGATTCATCCATAGATAAACAAGAAATGCAGCTTTTTCTTAAAGAAAAGCAATTTTGGAGGGATGTCCAGGAGCGTCTTATTGACATTATAAAGTTCCTGTCAGAAAGAAATTTAGCATTTAGAGGTTCCGAAGAAGTACTTGGCTCACCACACAATGGAAACTTTTTGGGTCTGTTTGAGCTATTAGCAAAAAGAGATCCTGTACTAAACGAGCTACAGAAAAGGATTGAAAAAAAACAAACACATGATCAATACCTCAGCAACAAAATCCAGAATGAGTTAATTCAACTTATTGCAAAAGAAGTAGAAAAAAAACCCTGAAAAAACTAATGATATCTAAGTACTATGCGATAATTCTGGATTGTACTCCAGATGTTTCTAACCAAGAACAGTTAACAGTCATTTTGCATTTTGTTGAGTGTGATACATGTAATGAAGTCACAATAAAGGAAGCTTTTTTTGGATACCTTCAAGTTAGTGATAGCTCAGGAAAAGGGCTTTTTGACACACTTTTAGAGCGAGCAAAGGAGTTAAAACTGAATATGTTAGACTGTCGGGGCCAGTCGTATGATAATGGTTCTAATATGAAAGGGAAGAATTCTGGTGTTCAGTCACGAATTCTACAAACAAATCCGAAAGCTCTGTATGTGCCTTGTGCTAATCACTGCTTGAATTTAGTTGTGGTTGACAGTGCCAAGTCGTCAACTAGGGCTTTGTCATTCTTTGGTGTTCTGTCCAGATTGTACACCATATTTTCATCATCCACACAGCGCTGGAGCATTTTGAAAGAACATGTGGAGATTGCTGTTAAAAATCAATCGGACACTCGATGGGAAAGTCGAATTAACTGTATTAAACCTCTGCGGTATTATTTTGGCAATGTTTTGATTGCACTGGAAAAACTGGAGGAGTATGCAATAGAAAAAAAAGATGGCAAAACAGCTACGGAGGCTCGGTCATTGATAACGTATATTTCAGACTGGGCATTTCTTTTGTCTTTTGTCATCTGGTATGACATTTTATTCCAAGTAAATAAAACAAGCAAGCTCATTCAATCTTTTGGTATTTCTCTAGATGTTATGGAAAATGAAATCAGAGCAACTGAGGCATTTTTAGAGAAGTATCGAGAAAATGGATTCTCAAGTGCTGAGACCACAGCCCGTGAAATTGCAGAAGAACTAAATATTCCAAGAAATTTTCCATCAATTTGCAACAATAGGTAGAAAAAATTGTTTGATTATGAAGGAGACGACGAAAGCGGTAGTCAAACGCCCCAATCACAGTTCAAAACTGACTTTTTTTGTGTGCTTGTGGACCAAGCTTTACAATCTGTACGGGAGCGTTTCCAACAAACATATGATGTGGCTGCTGTATTTTCATTTCTATTCAATCGGAAAAGTCTTTTTCAAGCATACAAAGACAACACCCTTTTGCTGAAGTGCCAGAATTTTCACAATAAAATGGGTGATATAGATCCGTTTGAAATGGAGATGGAATTAAAGCGATTTATTCATCTAGTTTTAGAAAACGATGAAAAGCTAAAAATTGCAATACATTTTCTGAATTATATCAACAGCAAATGTCTCCAGGAGGTGTATCCTAATGTCGCTATCGCACTCCGTGTTTTGTTGACTTGCCCTGTGACAGCAGCAACTGCTGAAAGAAGCTTCAGTAAATTAAAACTTATCAAAAATTTCCATCGCTCAACAATGACGCAAGATCGGCTGTCTTCTCTAGCCATGCTCTCAATAGAAAGTGACTGTGCCCGGAAGATAATCTGTGACCACCTTATTGAGGTCTTTGCAGACTCAAAAGTTCGTCGAAAGCATTTAGTTGAGCCTCATTGAATAACACTTTGTAAATAAAGTTTTGTAGCAAGCAGTTATTTTGTAGCAAAATCAAGTTTCTATATCTTTTTTATTAATAATTTGTTTTTAGGTGCTCCAAGACGTTTTTCACAGTGGAAAAGCATTTATTAAGAAGTTCACGCCTCCTTCCTAACCGTTGTAGAAATCTTGTCCAGAGGGTGTTTTGAAACCCGAATCTCTTGAGTCGACTCGATTAGAGAGACAAGCACTCTACCACTTGAGCTAAACGGCTTTAAAATTATCTGATCATGCATGTGGAATGAGTAATACCAACATGTTCTGTCTTTTATCTCAACTTTTTAATGGGGCCCAAAACCCACTTTTGGGAGGGGGGGCATCAGCTGTCTGGCACGGCACTACTTCAGACTATAAAGATTTATATCCACTTATGGTTTTCGATTTAAGCAAACAATTAGAAAGATTAAAACCTTCAGTATCAGATATTCAAATTTTAGCATACTTTAGTGAAAATGTTCCAGACGGAACTGAAGTATTTGCTGTTGTCATATCAGAAAGATTAGGTAAACTAAAGTCTAATGGAGATAGATTTAACTTTGAATATTAGAAAAAGAAAATTATAGTAAAATTTGCAATAAAAATATTTTTTTTGAAATGACATAAATAATTTTCTTGACATAATAAAAAAGAATGGAAAACGAAATTCAAAACGAAGTAATCGATTCAGAATATGAAATGTTTAAAGAAGAGATGAAGGTAAAAGAAAGAATAGAATTAATAAGATTAGAATTAAAATTAAAAAGAAAAAGATTGCGTGAATTAACAAATGAACTAATAGCATTAGAATTTGAAAATCAAATTGGTAATGAAATTGAAGATAATTTATTTTCAAAAATCGAAGAGTTGAAAAGAATAAGAAAAGAATTAAAATGGGAATTTAAATTGGAATTAAAAAAAATAAAGTTAATATTAGAAGAAAAAATATTTAAAAATTTAGCAATAGAAGCAGGAGTAGGACATAGATATAAAATATTATCACATTTATTATTTAATGAAAAAAGATTTAAAGAATTAAGAAGAATAAGTGAAGCATTAAATAACTTGTCAATGTCAGAAAAAGAATTAGAAAAAAGAACAGAAAAATTAAGATTTGAAGAAGAAGTATTAGAAGATCTAGAAGAGAAGTTAAATGAGATTGAACTTATAGAATATTTATATTCTAAATATCCAATATATATGAAGAAAGAAGAAATAACAGATCACTTAGAAAATAGAATACTTTGGAATTAGCGTTAGAATCAATATTAGAATCAATAAGATTGAAAAAAAGGTTGATTCCTATAGGAACCGAACGAAGTCTGGGTTTTGAAAGAACCTATGCTACGCTAGATCCCGAAGGGATCCTGGCTCCGCTGAATACTGAAGAAAGATTAGTAAAAAAATTAATTTTAAAAATAAGTTATTTAGAAAAAATCAAGATTATAGATTTTAGAATAGTTATAGAAGGAGTATTTAAATTTACAAGAAGATTTAACAGTCTTAGCTTAAAAATTACAAATGTAATATGTGAAGATTTAAAAAATATAACTTTAAAAAATATATATACAATAAAAACATAAGAATTTAAATCATATGAAAATGATTTAAATTTTTTTCTTTTGTATATAAAAAGAATGTCAATAGATGAAATGCCTGATAGATATCAATATATGTTAAAAGATGATGATATCGAAAGAATAAATTATAATATGAATGAATTATATAATAACATGAAAATTACTATTAAAAGTATTAAAAGACTCGAACGTGAAAAAGATGAAATAGAAAAGAAAGTGCGATATGAAGAAGAAGAAATAAAAGAAATGATGATGAAAATGAAAGAAGAGATACAAGAGACAGAAGAAAAGATGCAAGAGAGAATACAAACTAGAATACGAGTTAAACATAAAATAGTTCATCAGGAAATGCAATATAGAATAAAATTCTTTGAAATAGAAAAAAATTGTTATAATCTATTATACAAGAGAATGCATGAGATATTAAAAGAGAGTGAAAAGAATTAAAAAATATAAAATATTTTTTTTAAAAATATACAAGAAAAACATAAGAATTTAAATTATTTGAAAGTAATTTAAATCAATTTTCTTTATATAATAAAAATGAGTGACAAAATAAAATATACAAAAAAGTATTTATTAAAATTACTAAAAGAAAATAATATACAACAAACATCTAAAGATCACATTGCATTAGTTATGATTGCTATTGATTATAATTTAATTGATAAAGAACCTATACAATCAAATATCATTACTAAAAACAAAAAAAAAACCAAAGATTGAAAAAGTAAAAAAAGTTAAAAAAGAAAAAGTAAAAAAAGAGAAAATACCTGTAGGAAGACCTAGAATTTATCCTATAAGTTTTTGCCAAAAGAAAATTTTTACTTATGTTTTACAGAACTAGTTTACATGCTCCATGTGAATCTAAGAAGTTGCTTTTTATATATAAATTTTGAGAAGGTTGATTAGGAGTACATCTAAAAGATGTATTCCTAATCAACTTTTTCCTAATTACTTTTAAGAAATAAGCTACAACAGGAATTTGTATGTTTGCGTTTTGTCTTGTTTACACTTAGGTCTCCATAAAAGTGCGTTATATTAAAAGAGATTCTTTTTACCGAAAGTTTTGGTAATCAATTTGCTATATCAAAACAAACTTGTAGATTTTATTACAATACAATATCAAAGCCCTTGCTTACAATTACTTTTAACTTAAGAATGTTTTTGAGAATTTTGAGAATGCAAATTACGTAAGCTTGCTAAAACAACCAATAAGAAATATTGTCAAAATTACAAATTTTAATGTTTATAATTAATATATGGGATTAATTAGGGTAAAGTTCTGAAAAGCTATTAGGTAATTTTATTTTTATATTTTTCTAGCTAAATAATAGAATTAATGAGAACGTAATGTGAAAAAATCATTATTAATATTCTATTTATATTACAAGGTAAATTATAAAACCTTTTCGAAAAATATATCGGATGAGAATCTCAGCTTAGTCAAGTTTCATCATCTGTTTTATAGTTTATTACAATGGTTGTCTTTTTTATGTCTTAGAGTTATCAAAACCATTAGAAAAACAAACGTTTTTAAAATTATTTTTTAAGATGTTTTGAAAAACGCGGATGTTTTGATTTGTAAAGTTTTATAAAAGTATAAGTACTGTAATGTACAAAATTTGACAAAAAAAATTTTTTATTTGATTTTTTATGCTATTATTTTTTTCTCTTTTATTGTTCAATACGTTTTTTAACACATTTTTTGATTTTAACAAGCGCGCACAATCCTCTTCTTCAAAAAAAAAAACAAAGCAATCAGATTGCGCATACCGCTGCCTATTCTGAGCCTGTATAGTTTCAAAAAAAATTGTGAGGGCAACGAGAAGATAAAATAAACTTTTTTGGCTTATTTTACTAAACATAAATTCATTGACAGATTTTAAATTTCATTTATTAATCAACAAAAGTTATGTTACTAATTTTCAACTTTGCCGGTATAAAGTTTTAGCAGGAGTAGGCATTAAAACTATCGAAAAGTAATTTACAAAAATTTTAATAAATTATTTTACACTCTTGTTATCTTTTCTAGTTTTTTTATGTTCTCCAACAGTATAGGGTTTGTTGGATCTAACTTCAAAGCGTCAGCATAAGATTTTTTAGCATCTTTCAATCTTCCCATCAAGTGATACAACGCTCCAAGGTTAAGTAAAGCAATTGCATCCTATAACAATTGAAAAAAATTGATTATTTTAAAATCTTATTTTTTTATTAAAATTTTTATCCAAAATGCACTTTACATTTATATGATTTGCTCTACATGAAGCAGTAATGTTGTACGAAGTAAAATAGATTTGGAAACTAATCTTATTTCTAATATGATAATACTAAAAGATTTGCTTATTTGAAGGAATAATTAAAAATATATATATATAAGAAGATGAATAATAAAAATTAATTTGTATTCGTTTGTCTTCTTTTGTTTTATTGACTTTAAAAACGTTCGAAAAACCCGATAAATCAGTTAAATTCAAACGTTCGAAAAACCCGATAAATCAGTTAAATTCAACAAACCTTAACTTGAGAACTAAAATCAAAGTTTATTTAAATTTCACTGATCATCATCATTTTAAAAATTTCGAATGCAATTTTTATTTAAAGCACTTTTCATTGATTGCTGCAATAGGATTGCAAATAGTTATTGCTGCAATAGGATTGCAAATAGTTAGTATATACTGCAATAGGATTGCAAATAGTTAGTATATGCTGCAATAGGATTGCAAATAGTTAGTATATACTGCAATAGGATTGCAAATAGTTAGTATATGCTGCAATAGGATTGCAAATAGTTAGTATATACTGCAATAGGATTGCAAATAGTTAGTATATGCTGCAATAGGATTGCAAATAGTTAGTATAATCGGTAAATTAATTTATGATTTTAAAATTGTCATCGAAACCTAAAATTGTTCGTACAAAATTTTAAACACGTCATTGTAAAACTAAAAGTAACCTTAGCAACAACAACTTAATGACCAAAAGCAAAGATTAAGAATAATTAAATCTAACCTAAAACACTCTTGGCCTTAGGGCTTTTAAATAAAGGCGTGAGGCAAAGTATTGATATAAAAGTTCCTATGTAGGCCAGCTGTTAACTGCATCTGGCTAATGTCTTATAAAAGGCATTCACGATCAAGACTTTAGGGGTAAGCAAAACATTTCTGTTGACAACCTCAAGCCTCTTTTTCATCTACTAGAATCTACAAGAATAATAGCCTGGAATTATCTACTAGAATAATAACCTAGATATAAATCTAACAGACTTACAACTAGTAAATCTGTTAGATTGTTACCTGCTTAGGATAATGCATGCTGGGTATTCTTAACTCTATTCATGGGTTAGAGACATTAGCTGGCGCTCCCTTGGTAGTAACTATGCTGCTCTTTTGTTATCTCTTAATGAGCGTCAGACGATACTTTTTTGCATTGATTTCTACTCAAAATCGTAACAAAGTGCACTTTTTGTGGCCTCGACAATGCACCCCAAAAGCACTAACAGCAACACCTTCCATGCGCACCATGGCACTGTTAATACTCTAATATTTACAGTTGTTGGTGGAATCAGCCTCTCTGAGAGCCACCACAGAGTTCAGGAAGCCTTTACTACCGGCCGATCTAGGAATCGTTAAACGTAGTTTAAAGCAGGGCCGCAAAGAGGCAGGAAGGGGGGCAATTGAAATAGTTTACCCCGGGTATTAAAGTCTATAGGTCATTCTTTTTAAAATTTAAAAGTTAACATTTTTTACATCGTCATGAGTTTTAGCATGAATAATCAAAGACCTCCACGATTAAACCAGTGATCTGGAGTTGCTGGGGAAAAAGAGCGATGATTCGGAAAGAAAACAAAAGCAAAAACGAACGAACGTTTTTAGATTGTGTTCATTGGACAAAAAATAAAGATATTTGCAAGCAGGTAGTTAAATTATTTATAAATCTTGTAAAAGAATAATTGAAGAAATTCTGTTTACAAATATTTCTTTATAGTTCTATGACATAGAGATCGATATCAATGACTCTAATGAGTTGCTAGATCATAATTCCGACAAATATTTTTTTGTTGATGACATCGATGACTCCTAAAAAACGTCATCACCTTAAAAAAAAAATCAGTTGGATTTTGCAGTTGATCGTCACAATGACTAACAAATAAAAGTGATCTTTTTATACAAACCAACCTCTAACGATTATACAGTATGGAAATTAATATCAGACACTGATCGAACGATTATAACTTTGATGGGACCTTCTTCAAATCCTAGCAATTTGCCAAGAGATCAAAAAGAACACAAATTCCCTACTTACATCTTTATAGTGGAACAAAGAAACAGTGAAAAAGTTAGAGATTGGCTCGTTTGGAAAAAGGCTGTGGCATCACTTTTTTTTTTCCCTTGCTCCCTTTTTGGATCGCCAAATTTAACCAGATCTGGTATTCAATCAAGTTTGTTGTTTTGGAATGGAGGCATGAAAATTAGTGAAAACAGTCAGATCACATTGAACGTCATCAGCAAAGCAATACTCACTGTAACTATTATCTCGAATGGAAAACAGCTACGATTCACTTGAAAAGTCAGTCAAGTCTATTGAGCATCAATTAGAAAAACATATTGGAGATGAAACAAAGCGATGGAAAGTAATTTTATAATGCATTCTTGACGTCAAAATTTTTCTAGCTTCAAGAAATTTAGCTTTTAGGGGTAAGAATATTGTTTTTAAATTTTAAATTATTTTTTGCATTATTTTATTTGCAATTTAAAATTCAAAATTATAAGTTATAATTAGATATAAATATGGATTACAATTTTGGTTATTTTTTGATTGCAATCAAAAGTTCAAAATTCAAAAATAGGAACGGAAACTTTCTTGGAGCGCTCGAATTAATTGCTTGCCACAACAAAACGTTACAAGATCATCTTATTGCTAAGCACCAAGAAGAAAAACGCATGCAAGCTCATTACTTATTCTGGAAATCACAGAATAAATTTATGGAAGAGTGCAGCAAATTAGCGGTTCGAGAAGTTATTTGAGAAATCAAAAAATCAATTTATTTCACCATCATCACGGACAGCACTCCCGATTCGTTTCACAGCGAGCAAACCACTTTCGTTTTTTGCATTTCAGTGATAATCAGCTATGGGAGGTCAAAGAAAAGGTTCCTTAAGCTAAAAGAACTTGAAAAGAAGAAGGGATCTGATATAACAAAGTTGATATTGAAAGTTTTGGAAGAGAATGAGACATAAAAAATTCTCGTGGTTAAGGCTACAAAAATGGTGCTAATATTGCAGGTATTTACAAAAGAGTTCAAGCTGAATTAGGCAGAATAATCCACAAGCAATTTTCATTCCTTGTTCTGCTCACAGTTTGAACTTATGTGCAATACACGCTATTGAATCATCGGCTTCTGCGAAATCCTATTTTTGGAAATATTCAAAAACTATACAATTTGTTCAGCTGCAGCCCAGTTCGTTGGAAAATTCTTTGGGAGAAGACAGGCCAATCATTACACAAACTTTTTGTTACATAATGGAGCTCAAGGATTGAAGCAATCAAGCCACTAGCAAAAAAGCCGAGAGAGATCTTGAATTCATTACATCGTCTAAAAGAGTTAGAGTTCAAGTGAAAGTAGTAATGAAGTCCATTATCTAATTAAATGGATAAATTCTTTTGAACTTGTTTACACTTTTACTACTTTTTTGTTTAAATGTTTGATTGTTGTTTACAATTTGAGTTTTATAATATTTTTAACATATTTTTAGTTCAATACAAATATTTAACCTTGAAGGGACCAAAGAATATGTTCGATTTAAATGCTTTTCGGAATTATACGAGTTCGAACTACAAGAGTTCAACTATAAGCAGAGAAATAGCCTAATAAAAATTATTCAGAATATATGCCTAGGTATTATATATATCGATTGAAAAAATTATATTTTACTGCTTTCTATTTATTCAATGAAAATATCATGTGATAAAATATCCACATCAGCTAATGATTGGTGGAATATAAGAGGCGGTAATTGATGTATAAATAAGTGTATAAATTCTGTTAACAATTTAGGTCCAAGTGCATAAAAAATGTTTTTGCATTATTCATACTTATAGTTATAAGTGGTTTGATTTTAGCTTTAGCATAAATTCTGTCGTAAAGATTAAGGAATCAGAAAACGGTAGCGGTTTTTAGAATCATCTGATAGTGATATTGCTTCAGAAAACGATGTTATATTTAGGGATTTTATTGAAATAAATATGAACTTAAAGAGTAACCTAAGATCTTTGAAGTTTTTTTCGGAATATTTTTTAACATTATAGAATAATTTAGGTTAACAAAAAATATATGCCAGATATATGTATGTATTTATGATATATGTATGTATTTAAATCGAATGAAGACAAAAAGTTTCTCAAACAATTGTTCTGTCCATCTGGCGCCTAATACCGTGATATTAACAAAAAATTAAGTTTATTATGTCTACTCTTAAATGCTTACTCTCTTTTTGTGTTTTATTATATTTTTGTAATATTAAGTAAGGAATTTAACACATAAGCAGATTTAACTTATATAAACTTTATTATGAGGAATATAATGTATTTGGTAGGTATTATGTACTTGGTAGGGGAACCAAAATTTTTGACCAACTCAAGACTTAGAAGATTTTTTACAGATTGATGATTTTTATGACCTAAAATATTTTATACAACGAATGTTTTTGATTTTATTTTAACTTTGAGAAAAGGTTATAAAGGAAGGGCATGGGGGGATAGTCAATAAGCTTAGCATAGTTGGAAAGGTTCCAAAAATTAATAAGCATCCCCTCTCGTATATAAGACACCTAAGAGCACTAATATAACTTAAAACTTGACAGCGCAAAGTATGTTGCTCACAGAGAATGCAAAAAGAGACAAGATACTACTGTCTCGACTGCAATGTGAGGTTATGCATAGCGTGATTTACAATATGTAATATCAAAAAAACTTATAAAACTATTCCCACAAAAGTTCAATTATTAAATTGTTTTGATAAATAATAATAAAAAAAAAGTAGAAGAGACACTCCTATTAAAATCCAACTTGTAAGCAGTTAAAATCCAACTTGTAAGCAGTTAAAATCCAACTTGTAAGCAGTTAAAATCCAACTTGTAAGCAGTTAAAATCCAACTTGTAAGTTGTTAAAATCCAACTTGTAAGTAGTTAAAATCCAACTTGTAAGTAGTTAAAATCCAACTTGTAAGCAATTAAAATAATACAAAAGTTGAAAGAAAACATAATTACATGTATAATTTAAATAAAAATAAACCCAATTAAATTCAGAAATCAAAAAGAACATTTTATGGGCTTTTTGGGTGGTATTTTAGTTTTTAGGGTGCTGACCCTGGTTTGATATTACATTTTATAATTTTGGTGGTTTGAGAAAATAGGGAGAGTGGACACAACATTTTGAGTGTGACTTTTTTGTATAAAATAATTTTAAATCTTTTTAATATACTTTAAGTAAGAATAACATTTAGATTTTTTAACGGTTGACTTGAATTTTAAACAACGGTCAGCCACAACCAGAATTTTAAACAACGGTCAGCCACAACCAGAATTTTAGACAACGGTCAGCCACAACCAGAACTTTAAACAACGGTCAGACACAACCAGAATATTTGCTATGCAATTATTCTTCATAACCTTAAATTTAAATAAAGTCTTGATCAACTTTAAAAACGCTCTCACCACAGTTGTTTTTAAAAACAGTTGTTTATAAAAAGAGAATCCAAATTCTAGGAGAACTTAAATACCACATATATTTATTAAACAATATAAAAATATATATATTTATAAAGCAATATAAAAAGCAACAACGCACATAACAAAAAACATTAAGTAAAAAAAAAAGACATATGTAATTGACAAAGAACAATATAAAAAATTACATATATTTAGCATTATTTATACACAAAAATTAACAACATATAAACAATGCACAAAAATACATAAGAATTGTACTAAATTAATAAAAATTAAAAAAACTTTTTCTTTTCTTTCGATAACATCAGATTTAAATACTGCATGTTTTTCAAGGGATTTTTTTATTGATCAACTTTTTTCTTTGTTTTAAACAAAATTCAAAATACTGTGTTATTTAATTAAAAACGCTATGATTTAGCTAAAGTGCTATTGCTTAAAAAGAAGCTTTAAAAAACTGTTAAATATAAAGGTGTTATATAAAGATGAGATATACATATATATAAATTATATGTATATATAATAATACGATAATGTATACATATATTTACTTTCAAGGTAATAATGTACATATAATGTATATTATTAACCTTTATTTTTTAACAATTTATAAACAACTATGTATTCAATTAATAAAAATAATGATGTCCAATCTAAATCACACAATTAGGGTTTATCCCTCATAGAATGTCAATGCCAGTGACTATAAATTCAGGACGTCTGGGGTTTTAGACAAACACATTTTTGCTTGGACACTATTGGCTACAATATGTTTTGCAATTTGTCTACAAATATTATTTTTCTGCTCATATAAAAATGAAACTAAAATTAATTAAATTACTTGACTTACTGCAAAACTAATAATTAAATACTATATTGTCTTCAAGTGAAAGTATAGAAAATTTAAATAAAAATCATTGGAAAGTGACTCAAAAATTTGATGAAAAACCTTTTATTGGGAAATGACTCTACAATTTATATTATCATTTATATAATATATTTTATTGAATGGAAAAATTGTGATTTTGAGATAAGAAAGAAAAAAAAAATCAGCCTAAAAGTTTATAATGTAGCATCGTAACAAATTGAAGAACGTATATTATTCTTGAGTTTATTATTGTTAGTTTGTGTTTTTTACTTAAATGATCTAACTGATAATAGTATTCATAATAAGTTTTACCAGGTATCAGACTCTTACATTTCGCTATTAAATTTATTTTTAAAATTATTTTTTTAAGGGAAAAAATAAAAATTCACTTAACTCAGCTTTTAACTTTAACTCAGCCTGCCTAAATACTTTAGAACTAAATTTTAGAAGACGTTTGTAGTAAATATTTTCAAGGATGTTTGTAGTAAATATTTTAGAAGATGTTTGTAATAAATATTTTGAAGGATGTTTGTAGTAAATATTTTAGAAGATATTTTTTTTTTTAATTTTTAAACATCTAGGCTGATTGAATCACCCCTAATGTGACCTGAGTTTTATTCATGGTGTATTCCCTGTGTAAGTGACAATAATAAATACAAGTTAATACAGTGATTGAAATTGGATGATCTTAAATATTAAAGTTCTTATATAAGATTTTGTAAGTACTTAATTAGCTGGAAATGGAAGGACATAATAATTGTTAACATATCTGGCATACCTTGTTAAATTATTAAATTATTCCATCATACATCTGACATATCTTGTTAAATTATCAAGTCTAAACTATTGCATAACATTAAAAAGCTTAATTTTATAAAAACTTCACGGTCAAGCATCACGGTAAAAAAAACCACAGGTCAAGCATTTTTTTCCGAGTTTATATTTATTTCTAAAATGCATAAACATAATGACATCATCGTTTTTCTAAAAAATATTACTGTCAGATAATTTTGAAAAATCACTATTACTTTTTGATAGTCTATAAGTTCATATAGCAGCATGTAGAAGATTTTATTGTTAGAAAAGTAATTTTAGTAAGTTGCAACATTCAGAAAGATTAACTTCTGTGTTAAAACAAATATTAAATTAAAAAAACGAATTTAAATTAAATCAGAGTACAGGACTGAGAGGAACCATCCAGAGGACTGAGAGGAACCATCCAGAGGACTGAGAGGAACCATTGGAATAGATTCATTAAATTTTCAAACAGTTTGAAAATCTGTAAATAAGCTGTAGTAGCCTTCTGATATAATTAATAAAATTATATTTAAAAAACATAATTGAAAATCTTACGTTTGATTTTATATCATTGAGTTGTAGTTGATAATATAAAGCATTTTCATAGTCTTTCATTTCCCTAAAATATAAAGCATTTTAAGAGTCTTTCATCTCCCTAAAATATAAAACATTTTAAGAGTCATTTATTTCCTTAAAATATAAAGCATTTTAATAGTCTTTCATCTCCCTCAAATATAAAGCATGTTCAGTTTTTTATCTCCCTAAAATAAAATACTGACTCCTAAACAAAATTATAAATTAATTATAAAATCATACAAATAATTTAGTTTAGAAATTAAGCAATCTCATAAATAACCTTTAAAGAAAAAAAAAACACCTGTAAATGCTGCTAATAATTGATAGACTGTCTTCATCTCGTGGAAGAATTTGCAATGCTTTTTTCAATGCTAATAGAGCTTCATCAAACTTACTTTGACTAACAAGAGCGCGACCTGAAAACAATTAAATCTTTTCTATAATTTTTTATTATTTATTGTTGGAATATTTTTTTCTATCAGATTGTTTGCAAATTAAATAAGTATGGTTAATATAGTAAAATATGGCAAGAAATATGGTAAGAATTTTGTGAGAAATATGGGAAGAAACAAAATTGTTTCAGTGTGCTGAGAATAATGGATAAAATAAAGCAGATACTGATGTGCACAAACGCACAAAGCATACTGAAAATTATTATTGTAATAACAAGTAAATAGATGTAGAAATTAAATTTTCCATTCCTTGGGTTTAGCCCTAGTAGTTTACTGATAGTTTTAAGGATATTTTTAAGGGTTCTCAAAAACAATTATGAATAAAGATTTTGATTATTTTAAAACAAAGACAATAATAAATGCTTATGTACAACAGATTATTTTACTTGGTAATAAAGTCAAATAAAAAATTTACCATAAATTTGATAAGATTCAACTCGATCAGGATCAAGGAAAATAGCTTTTTTAAAATATTGCTCAGCTTTGGTGTAGTCTTTGACCTTAAAAAAAACCCTTAAACAACTTTGTTATATTAATTAAAAGAAAAAAAAAGAACTCACCTGAAAATAATTTATTAATATTTTAATTAAAACTAATTTTTTTAAAATTATTTTAATTTTTTTTCATTCTTATTTTATTATCTTTTATTATTATTTTTTAATTTAAAACATTAAAAAAAAAAAATTTTATATATTATTCATTTATTACTTAAATTTAAAAGTCTTAATTAAATAAAGTTTTTAATAAAAAAAAATTTAATTAACAATTTTAATTATTATTAATTTAAAGTTGAGGTAATGCGGTAGTGGTGTAGTGGAAGAGTGGTGTAGTGCTAATGCGATGATGGTGTAGTGGAGGAGTGGTAGTGGTGTAGTGCTAATGCTGTAGTGGTGTAGTGGAGGAGTGGTAGTGGTGTAGTGCTAATGCGGTGGTGGTGTAGTGGAGGAGTGTTGTAGTGCTAATGCGGTGGTGGTGTAGTGGAGGAGTCGATAGTGGTTTAGTGCTAATGCAGTAGTGAAGCAGTGGTAAAGCATTTGCTTCATAAGCAAGAAGTTATGAGTTCAATGCATACCACACCCCTTAGTACTGTGCTTTAGTTCTTTCTCCACCTTTCTGGCCTAGTTTGTAAAAAGTTTTTGTGTTGGATTTAAAGAGTTGAGAGAAAGTTAAAACCACAAACAAGTAGCCTCCTCAACTTTAGTGTCACTCTTGCCCTTAAGGAGGTAAATAACATTTAAAAAAGTTTTAAATATATAATAACATAAAATAAAATTATAAACATATGTTCAAAAATGATAAAAGCTATTTTATAATGTATGATAATCAATAAAAAAGTGAAATTTGATTTCACAATTTTCAAAATTCTTTTAAATTTTTAAATTTAAATCAATTTTTCAGTAGATTATAAATTTACAATACTAACAATTTCAATTGGTCAAATGACAAAAATAATTTTTTGCAAAACATGTAGTCATTTTTTAGCAAAAATAGAATTAAATTTTTAAAAAATTTGTGGAAAAAAAAAAAAGATTTTATAATTTGTAAATTTTTTTTGTGTGTAGAAATTTATAATTTATTTTATTAATTTGTAAAAAAATTTGTATGTAGAATTAAGCTAAAATGTATTCCATATAGAGTTATATGCGCCATTGAAAAAATTTTAATTCAATTTTAAAATGTAATCAAATACTAAAAAATTAATACCACAGAAACTAAATGTTGTGTATACTGTTAAACAATGCAGGAACGTGGTCACCTTTAAACTCTAGTTCTTTTTAAAAAATATGCATTAAAGAAATAGACTGAGCTGTCGAACCGAAGTGAAATAAGAAAAAAATTAGGAAAAGATATGTTTAACAGATGTTTAAAACACAATAAAGACACTATAGTAAAGCATGTAATAAAACAATAATAAAATATAAATATAAATAAAATATAATATAAAAAGAATATAAATAAAAATAAAATATAATTTTTTGTTTATGCGACACAATGATCTCAAAAAGTGACCAACGGAGCTGTCCAGTTTCGTAGACCTGAGAGATGTGATAATAAAAACAGTTAGAAGATGGTGTTATTGAATAAAAAATAAAAATCATAAGAAAATATAAAATGAGTGATAGGACTTTTGTGAAGGTAAAAAACAAAGTTAAATGCTCGGGGGGCAGGAAGAGAACCAACTAACACTCTAGTCACTCTGTGTGTAGATCATATGTAACAAAGAACAAATATTTGATATACTGATTTTGAAGACTGTTGATGTCTACAGGTGTGATGGTGTAGTGCATTAGTACGTATGTTTTGTTGTCTAGTATGGTCTCGTTATGTTTCCGTTCACTTTCAAATTGGGTGAATTGAAAGCTAAACACACTCACTTCTTGTGCTTATGGGCTAGCAAATCAGAGCCAGATGTAAGACCTACAGAATGGATTTCAATTGATCGAATGCACACATTAGTCACCATAGGCCACAACCCATCACTCTTAGTCAAAAGAGCTACTGCCCCGTGCCGATTTCAGATCCGAGCACATAGTCAGCGAGCGCTGGTCCAATGTGCATTGTGGAGCTTCCAACTGAACGTGTGTGTGAGTGTCTGCGTAGTCATTAGGTTATTGAGCACCGTAACCACATCCAGCGGGATAGCCTAATGTCCGTTTTGTTGTTGTAGTGTACATTGAAAAAAAGTCGGGGCTCACCAGCCACAAAGAATAAATTCTTTTGCTTATGCGACACAATGATCGCGAAACGTGATTAATGGAACCGTCCAGTTACGTAGACCTGGGAGATGTGAAAATAAAAACAGATTGAAGATGATATCATTTTAGTAAAAAAACATAAATTAATGTAAAGACTATTTAGTAGAATGAGTAAAACTTAGCAACTCAGAAAGAGAGGAACCAAAACTCACACTCTAGTCATTTATTGAAGATCATATTATGTTATGGGCTCGTTTATATTTATAATTTTATTTCCACATTTCATATTATGTTAATTGATCACCTACTTCACTTTGTCATAGTTTATTTATGGCTGAAATATGTATTATATAAATATAAATAAAAATAAAAAAATATATAAAAAGAATATAAACAAACATAAATATAATCTACAAACTTTAATTCAACTTTAAAATAATTAAATACCAAAAAATTAATACCACAGAAACTAAATGTTGTGCATATGTTAGCAATGCTGGAACATGGTCACCTTTAAACTCTAATGCTTTTAAAAAATAATATTCTGCCTCTTTATATTTTTTCAGATCTGAGTATGCTTGACCTAAGTAAATAAATAAAAAATCAATACTTTTTTTATTTTTGGTAGTAGTTTTGCTTCCTTCCTGTTACTATGTTTATACTACCTGCCTCCTTTTATTACTTACTAGATTTGATTTTTTTTCTTCATAAAAAAGTTACATTACGAAAAAATGAACTTTTTCTGTTTTTATTTTTTTAGTTTATTTTTTACTGGTTATTAATTTAATTGTGCTTTGTCCTATGATGGCCTCTCATTCCTGTTGTGCTCCTACTAGGCTTATTGTACTCCTCACCACATTCAATGCAGCTAGTTCTGTTTTCTATGATCTTAGTAAAAAAATTAAAGAAACCTTTAGCATCTAAAAATAACCTATCTATGAATCTATCTATATATCTAGGGGAGGAGGCAGTTTAGGACATGGGTAGTTTAGGACAATGCGAAAATTTAATAATACAAATTTATCAACCAAACTAAATATATTAGTTGGTTAGAAATAATTTTGCATGTAACTGTAACAGGATTTTTTTCAAGAAAGCATATAGATGATTTCTAATTTTAAAAATTTTTAAAGATAAGAGTTTACTGAGGAACTTACTTTTTCAAGTAATTTATTTTCTACATTTTTATTGAACATTTAATGATATAAATTAAAAGTTTAATTACATGAATATATATTCTGTAATTCAACTTTTTTGTAAAATATATTATGAAATCAGGGTTGAGACAGCATTGGACAATTTTTATTGGCCACATTTTGACATACTGCACATCTCTAAACAATCTTATTGGGAAAATAAATTATTAAAAATTAAAAAGCTAAACAAAGTTTTAAAAATGGTGAGCTTGCAAGAGAAAAAAAAAGTATTAATGGAAACAACCTGCTTAATAAAAAAGACGAAATATTATCTAAATGTCGACATTTAAATAAATTCCTGCTATCTTTATTTGATATTGGAGATTAAATGATTGCGCCTTTTTAAATTACGCCAGAACTTGATCTACCATAAAATTTTAAACGTAAATTAACGTTTTTTAAACATTAATTTACATTTTTAATTTGTAAGTAATAGCTGATGATTGCCGAAAGGCACGAAACTTTAAGTTCTATTATAATGTTGTTTTCCTTCATTTAAATAAAATATATATATATTGCTCTATTATCATAATATCGAGCACTGTTTTTCGTACAAGAGTTTTATATTATTTTATATAATACGTAACCAATCAATATATATATATATATATATATATATATATATATATATATATATATATATATATATATATATATATATATATATATATATATATATATATATATATATATAAATATATATATATATATATATATATATAAATATATATATATATATATATATATATATATATATATAAATATATATATATATATATAAATATATATATATAAATATATATATATAAATATATATATATATATATATAAATATATATATATATATATATATATATATATATATATATATATATATATATATATATATATATATATATATATATATATATATATATATATATATATATATATATATATATATATATATATATATATATATATATATATATATATATACACACAGTGAACCATTGTTCACTGATATGTGTTTTTTCAATGATGTAAAATTTTAAAATGAGCAATATTTAAATATTTATGTGTCTTATTAATAAGTGCCTTGTTAATGTGATAATTAAAAAGATATTTAAGTTAACAACTTACAATTAACAATATGCTAAACAATCTATTTAATTTTTTTTAAGAATTAGGACATTAGATAATCTATCTACTTTTTCGCATGTGAAAAAAGCCATCACAAGGAACATAATCATAAATTGAAAAACTACTAATATAAGTAACTTTATACCATTTTATATATTACCTTTTATATAACACATCATTAATGGTTCAAGAACATTTTTGTTTGATTAATCATATTTGATGCATAGAACACAATTAATTGATTCATTGTTAAACAATGCTGCTCCCTAACTAATATTACTATTATTAAATATAATATATATTATATAATATATATATATATATATATATATATATATATATATATATATATATATATATATATATATATATATATATATATATATATATATGTGTATATATATATATATATGTGTGTATATATATATATATATATATATATATATATATATATATATATATATATATATATATATATATATATATATATATATATATATATATATATATATATTATTACATTTATTAACTAGATATATACTTTGATTTTTATTTTAATTTTAGAAATCACTTTAAATTACTTTATTATTTAGTTTATTTTAGGTTTTTAAACAAACTATTTTTATTATTTATTTTGTTTTTTTTCTATAAAATACCTATAAGATATCTATAAATGTTTCACAAAAAAAAAGTCCATTAAATACATTCATATTATAATGTAAACATTTATTTTTTAACTAAAATGTAAAATGTAAAAAACATAACAAAAACAAACAAAAACACTACCCAACATGTTAAAGATGCTTTGAGGTTCATAATTATCAGGCATACCAGCTAATGCTTCATTGAACCATTTGATAGCATCCTTTAATAAAACAATAAAAAACTAAATTTTTACTTTAAATGAATATAAAACTTAATAAAGAGTATGTTTGCTAAAAAAAAGGTTTATGGTTAATAAATGACATAAAAAATAGTTTAAAATTAAACAAAACTGAATAGCAAGAAAACAAAATATATTAAAAGAAAAATAAAGATATAACTTTTTTCAAAGATTCAAAACAATTGAAATCCTTATTTTGAATGCAACTCTGAAATCTTTTATTTATTTATTTTGTTGCAGAACTCTAAACTTTTATACACCAAGAACTTTGTATGTTTAGATTTTATGAAAACTTAATTTGCTGCAATTAATTGGTTACTTCTCTTCTCATACAAAAGTTGTCTTTACTAAGATTAAGGAGCTTAACCTGCCCCCAGCAGTAGAACATCAAATTAAACAAGTAACCTGTGTATTTCTGAGATTAAACAAGATTCGTCCAGCATTATAACGTATATGAGTCACTAAAAAGAAAATAGATCTTTTATCATAAAAGAAAAACTTCAATTAAAAACACGTACGAAAAGTTTTTAAAACTCACAAGATATAGCATGATTTCCAGGATCTTTCAGACCATGATCACTCAAATTCGATGCATTCTGAAACACCTGAAATTTTTTTTATTTATAAATATTCTGAAAAAATTTTATTCTAATTTTTTGTTTTGAGTTAAATAAATAAAGGTATTGGTGTGAAGTTGTGTAGTGGAAGTGGGGTGAAGTTGGTGGTGTAGTGGTAGTTAGTGATTCGACAGAGCATGAAAATTTTTAGATCTCCACTAGAAAAGTTTTAAGATGAAAAGTGAAAAGTTTTGAGATCTCTCCTAGGCTAGTAAGTGATATCCGGATATACTGGCAGATAAAGCCCATGCAAATGAGTATTTTAGTATGATATATCAATTAAAGCAAAGTACACAAAAACATATGTAAATATATATATATATATATATATATATATATATATATATATATATATATATATATATATTTGACAACAATTTTCTTTTTTTATTATTAAATTATTTGTAGCTTTTTTTATTTAGATTTTCTATTTCGTTTAGTCTTTGTTTATTTTCTTCGAGTATTGCTGTTTCATTCTCTAGTTTCTTTATTTTGTTAACTTAAAATGTTTACTATATAAAAATGTGGTCAAGTTGCCTAAAAAATTACTTTATGCATGGACGTACAAGGCGTGTGACCGCAGGTACTTCCCAGGAAGGCTGTATATATGTGGGTGTGTGTATATATATATATATATATATACACATACGTATATATTTTTTAAAGTTATTTGCCTCCCCAAGGTTGAGGGAGCCACTAAAGTTAAGGAAGCTACTTTTTTTTTTTTAGTGAAGTAAGAATCCTCTCTTAATTCTTTAACTTCGAAACACAAAACTTGACAGACAAGGCTGCTGTGCTAAAAAAAAAGCTAAGTACTACCAGGGATGTGGTGGGGATCGAACTCAGAACTTCTTCCTTATGCATCAAGGGCTCTACCCACTGTGAACCACAGTGATCACCAGGTTTTAAGTCTCCCCGCATCCAATTTTTTTTTGTTATTAAAAAATAAAACAGTAGTTAAATTAAGTAAGGGAACCTCCATAGAAATGGTTAAAATAAAAATTTTGCACATTTTGAATTTTGATTAATAGGAGAGGGGTGGTACATGGGTAATATTATTGAAGATCATGTATTTCACATAATTTTAGGAAAAAATAAAATTTACCACATGCCTAAGTGTTTAAACATTCTCCAACAGATAACATAGCAAAAAAGTTTAGATAAAAAACATTAACAAAATATAATAAATGTATTTAATGTAAACAAATATCTAGACTAAGCTTTAGAATAACATAAGTAGTATTAAATTTTATCGATACTTAATCTTATATGCTATTAAAATACTTAAGAATCAACACTTTTTGACACTATTGTGGGTCAATAATATATTAACTTAAATTATAAACATGTTAACTATTTATTAATTGTTGAAAAATCAACAACACTTGATTTCAATCGTTTGACTTGACTTCTATCGTTTAGCATAATCAGAGTGGCTTTGACGTCTCTTATACTTAGACCATATTTTTTTATACTCACGATGAACAGATTCACCTGCTTGTTCTGAGTAAATTCCAAATCCATTATCAGTATTGGTACTTTTTAAAAAAGGTACAATATGTTTAATTACAATATAAACTTTCCATGTTATATTTAAAGAAATATTTTCAAAGTAATGATTAATATGTTCCATTAAATTAAATTCCATAACTCCATATTACCAATATTTTTTTCTCCAAAAGTAGTTTGCTTTACTGCTTCAAACTTTCTTGAACATTCAATAACTGGAAATCAAGTTTTCCTTGATCAGCAATATCACAAGCAAGAACTTTTTTCTAAACAATAAATTTCTTTATAACAATTGCTACGAGTAACTTGGTTGCTACGAGTAACTTTAGGACTCTGATCATAGCTATCCCAAATTAAAGTTTTTATTTTTTTTTTCAATAGTTTTGTTTATTTTATAAAACTTTGATGATTTTTTAAAAAAAGATTTTAAAACAAAAAGCACATATATTGCTGACCATTTAAGTCATTGAGCACCAGAGAATGTTTAAAAACAAAAAACCCAGACAAATTAAAGCTATTTTGTTGAAAATGGCTAATTATTTATATAACTAAAAAGTATTAATTTTATTTTTTGATTTTCATGCATTTTTCCACTCAACTGGAGGTTTTAAGTAATCAATTATTTATTATTCTATATGTAACTAAGTATATATAAAATAAAATCTGATGTGGGGAGATTTCAAACCTGACAGTTACTGTGATTCACAGTGTACCACCAGGGTTGGAAAAAATCACGATTTTTTTAAAAAAATCAAAAAAATCAGATTTTTTTGATTTAAATCAGATTTTTTTGATTTAAATAAAATATTTTTTGATTAACTTTTAATATAATTTAAAGTAATATGAAATTGGTTGACTGTGTTTTTTTTGTACATAATGCAGTGGTCAAACAGGTCAAAAGTATACTCAGGATTCTAAAATCATTTCGTTTAACCTTATACCTCCACGAAACTATCCACACTATGCGATTGTATAAAGATTTTCTGGATATTTATTATATTAAGTTTAGATAGTATTAAGTTTTTTCTTAAACATTGTTGTTATAATTTAATATTGACTGTTTGTCAAAATTTTTGTCAAAAAAATACTACTCTTAAATGGTTTAAAACTCTAGCTATATTTTTGCAGAAACAAAAATATTTAAAACATACTAAACAAAAACAAAAAAATATGTCTGGAAGAAGATCTAACTCAGTGTGGTCCAAATTTGAAAAGCTTGAAACAAAAAGTGGGAAGGGATGTAAAGCAAGATGTAGGATATGCAAAAAAGAACTGCAGGGTCTGGTGGCAAGAATGAAAGTACACTTAAATAAATGTTGTCACGAAAATAATACAGAAGGTGATATAATGTACACTTTATAATAATTAATTATTTTTTTACTTAGTATTATTTAATTCAAAGTATTTTTTTAGAAATTGAATTTCAAACTACTTCTTCCAATATTCAATTTGATGTTACAAAGCAACCCTCAGAATCATCTGTTTTAGCAGAAAAATGTTATTTAAATGTATCAGCAAAAAAATCACGGACTGAAAATATAAATAATAATGGTCCAATAAATAAAAATATAAGTTCTGGATTATTGTCACATGTTGTTAGAACAAGTCAGAGTCAAAAGGCCGTATTTGATGAGCAGATTGCAAGAATGATTTTTGCAACAAATTCATCATTTCAATTAGTTGAACATCCAGAATTCCAAAAACTTATGTTGATGTTGAGGCCAGGCTATAGTGGCCCAACAAGAAAGGACGTAGCTGACAAACTCCTAACAATAGTGTTTGATAAAGAAAAGGGTAACGTTAAAAACGCTCTAAATGGAGAGATTGTAAATATAGCACTGGATGGTTGGTCAAACGTTCATAAGGAGCCTATAATTTGTGTTACAGTTACAACTGAAACAAGTGATGTCTATTTAGCTGACACAATTGACACATCTGGAAGCCCGCACACTTCTGAATATCTTGAAGAACTAGCAGTTTCATCAATTAAAAATATAGAGCTTGAATTTGGGTGTCGTGTGGGAAGTATTGTGACTGACAATGCAGCTAATGTATCAAAAATGAGGCATAATATTGAATCTCGATCAGATATTGATGTAGTTACATATGGTTGCTCTGCACATTTAATGAATTTGTTAGCACATGACCTAGAAATTGACAATGTTAAAGATCATATAGTAAATATTGTCAAATATTTTAGGAACCACCATTTTGCTTTGGCAGAATATAGAAAAGCTGGTGGACAAAAACTTGTATTGCCTCAAGATACTCGCTGGAATACCATGTGTGACTGTCTAAAACTGTATATTGCAAATTGGTCAACTCTGCTAAAAATCTGTGAGTCTAATCGGGCCATAATTGACACTACAGTGCAACAAAATGTCTCTAACTTAGTCATTAAGAGATCTGCAGAAGATCTACTTGCTCGCTTAGAACCTATTGCTTTTGCACTTGATAAAGCACAAAGTGACAAATGCAAAAATGCAGATGTAGTGGAAGTATGGAAAAATCTAGAAAACAAACTTTTGTGTAAAAGTGAGAAAGTTATCCATAATAAATTCAAAAAAAGATACGACAAGGCAGTGACACCATCCCATTTTCTGGCTAATCTTCTTCACCCTCATTACCAAGGTAGAAAATTGAATGAAATTGAAAAAAATACTGCTTTGGAATATGCCAATCTACAATACCCACATATTATTCCTACAGTTATGAAATTTAGAGGAAAGTCATACCCATTCCTGGAATTTGAATTTAGATTAGAGGTTTTAACAGAATTATCGTCTGTTCAGTGGTGGAGATCACACCGCGATAACATTGAAAGTAAAACATTAAATACAATTTTGCAATTGATGACTGCGGTAGCTTCATCTGCAGGAGTTGAACGTGTGTTCTCCTCTTACGGCTTGGTGCATTCAAAACTGAGAAATAGATTGGGTACAGAAAAAGCTGCTAAGCTTGTGTTTCTATTCAAGGCAATTAATCAGCAGAAAATTATTCAATTTGATGTTGATGATTAATTGTAATGCTGCACACAGGATAAAATTTTTTTAGTTGATAATTATGTTTATTAATTTGTTTTGTGCACTGTAGCATTACCTGTTATATTTATTTTTATTGTATACTTTGAGTCATTATTTCTATAAATACATAGTTCTGTTACATTTAATTAGTTTTTTTTTAAATATGACAAAAATAGTTTTTAAATAAATTTTTATTATTCAAAAATCAAACATAAAAGAAAAACTTGATTTAAATCATTAGTCATCCAAAAAAATCTTTTGATTTAAATCTTGATTTAAATCGATGTGATTTAAATCAGCCAACCCTGTGTACCACTATACCACTGCCATATATATATATATATATATATATATATATATATATATATATATATATATATATATATATATATATATATATATATATATATATATATATATATATATATATATATATATATATAAACAAAAAATACCTTTAAAGCATCATGATTTAAATTTAAGGACATAAGAGTTACTCCAAGATTTAAATGTGCTGCTAAAAACGAAATAAAAAAATTTATATTAAGTTAATTTCATTCAAAAAATATATTTTTTTAATAATACTAAATATTCCCAATATGGTATTTTTTAGTAAAAAAATCGATGGAAATTAATGACAGTTTATTTACCAAATGTATATACAAAAAACATATTATAAAAAACATATTATAAAAAACATATTATAAAAAACATATTACAAAAAACATATTACAAAAAACATATAAAAAACATATAAAAAACATATTATAAAAAACATATTATAAAAAACATATTATAAAAACAAAATATAAAAAAAAAACTTAAAACCTCATATTTACTTTAAAATTTTAAAACAAAATAGAAAAACATTTGGGATTTTATGTTAAAATGAATTAAATTTATAAATAAACAAGATTAGAAAAAATTATTATTAGCTAAGTCTATGAAAGCAGGAACTCAGTAATTAAAAAAAAAATAAAACTTACTAGCTAAACGAGGCCTGTACTTTATAGCTTCTTTATATGAATAAATAGCTTCCTTATATCTGCGTTCATTTTGAAGCAAAATACCTCTAAACATAATATAAGTTATATTAATTTTTAATAAATTATAGTGAACCATAATAAACTAAATAATTACAATTAAAAAAAAAGTTTTTTTCAGTAAGAAGTTTTTATCAGCAGAGCAGAAATTATAATAAAAAACATTATTATGTATTATTAATAAGAATGCACCAATGCCTTGGTAGTTTATTTTGGAGAAAGTCAAACACAAAAAGACAATTGTAAAACTTTACAAGATTATGGAGTTTTAGGATTTTTAGTTCAGAAAATTTTTTTTCGATATCAGATCTCATTGGGGAAAACATCATTATTCTAATAGATGCGCGTTGTAAAATAGCAATGTTATTAAGTAAAAAGTTTCTTTTTTGACCCCAAACAATACAACAATAGCAAAAGTGAGAAGAGAATAAAGAAAAATAAATCATTTGAAGAGTATGGATAGGAACATAGTAACGAATTAGAGAAAGCATACTGTTAGCTCGTGTAAGTTTTTTTTTTAGATGATACAGTTGATTATACCAAGATAGGTTTTCATCAAGATATATTTCAAGATACTTTATATATTTTGATGATCAATAGTTTTTTGAGGGGAATGAAAAATAATGTATTCAGTTTTATTGACATTCAAGGAAATACGGTTACTATTTAACCAGTTACATAAGCGATGAAGATCTTGATTAACTTTTTTACAAAGAGTCATGAGGGATTTGTTGATATATAAAAGATTGGTATCGTCAGCATGATGTATCATAGAATTTTTTAACGAACAAGATAAATCATTTATATATAATAAGAACAACAACGGTCCAAGAACGGAACCTTGTGGAACGCCATATTTAATAACTTTATTTGTGGATTCAAATCCATTAATTGAAACAAACTGAGTGCGATCTGTAATAAATGAAGAAAACGAATGATTAGCAATACCACGTATTCCGTAGTAGTTTAACTTTTTTATTAGAATGTTATGATCAACCGTATCAAAAGCTTTTTGAAGATCTATGAATACACTACAAGCAAAAGAACCACTGTCAATTGCACCACGAATCATTTCAGTAATGCTAATAAGACCATGAAAAGTGGAGTGATTTGAGTGAAACCCAAATTGTTGAATATGAAAACAAGCAGAATTATTCAAAAAGTTGTAAATACAAGAATACATAAGTTTTTCTAAAAGTTTGCTGACATTTGATAATAATGAAATTGGTCTGTAGCTATTACATTCAAGTTTTGAGTCTTTTTTATGAATTGGGATTACAGAAGCAGTTTTTAAAATATCAGGGAATACACCGGTTGTGAATGACAGATTAAATAGTTCAGAAAGTACAGGAGAGATATCATTTGCAAGAGCTTTAAAAATAGGTATTGGAATGCTGTTAGGTCCTGAAGCCTTGCTGTCATTAAGAGAATGAATAATTGATAATACTTCGTTTTTGTCTGTAGGTTTTATGAACATTGAATTAAGATTAGGATTTTTAAGATGCTTATTAAAGTCAGTATTGGATGAGTGGATTTTATTCTGTAAATCTTCTGGAACTGAAACAAAAAATGAATTAAAAGATTCCGAAATTTTAATGGGGTCGTATATCATGGAGTTGGTAGAAGATGAGCATGAAGGAGATGAGTTAACTCTTAAACTAATGTTTAAAAGGTTCTTAATACCATCCCATGTAGATTTCAAATTTTTGGCATTGTCAGAGAAGAACTTAGAGTAATAGTTCTTTATACTACGACGGGTGAGAGTAACAAGTAAGTTTCTATATGTTTTATAAGATTTTTCTAGATTGAGTTTGTTATTAGAATTCTTTGCTTTAAGAAATTTGTTAAATATTTTATTTCTCATTTTAATAGAAGTCAAGATTCCTTGTGTTATCCAAGGTTTGACCCCTTGATAAGCAGCGATTGCTGCCTTTTTTTAATGGTGCATGTTTATCTAAAAGAGAATTGAAACTTGAGAAAAACTCTTCAAATGACTTATTAGTCTTACCTTCGTTGACATTGATTACATTAGTCCAGCTAATTTTTGAGAAATCACTAAATGATTTGACGCAATTTATTTGTTTTAAATTTTGAAAAAAAATGCCGCTTTTACGAGTATTAATTTTGGTTCTATAAAATGGATGTATTAAAAATTGGGACAAATGATCTGATACCGTAGAAGTAAAATTACCTACAAAAATATTTGTAGAAGTTGCATTAGAAAATATGTTATCAATTAGAGTTTTGGAATGATTTGTGATTCTTGTTGGCAATGAAATAAAGGGAAGAAAGTTATTTAAAGCAATAGTGTCTAAAAATTCAGAGACAGAATTATCTGAGTTTGCTAATAAAAGATTGACATTAAAATCGCCTATTAAAAAAATAGTTTTGTTTTTTCCATAGATAGCTTTTCAAAAAGTGGAATTAAATATGATTTAATAAATTCTGAAATATCCATACTAGGATGGCAATAAATACAGCCAATAATGATGTTTGATTTTTAAGGAATTATGATTTCCACAAACACAGATTCTAAAAGCTTTGGTTTAAGATACTAGGATCATATCCAAGTTTGTAAATTAATGTATTCGATATATAAAGTAAAGCTCCTCCAAAATAAGATTTTGTCGGAGTGTGCTCATAAACATAACTGGTAAGATTTAATGGGATAGTTGGTAGAATGTCATTTTTTAGTTTAGTTTCAGTTATGCCAATAATACTGAATTTATGATTAATAAGAGTTATAAGTGAGTTTAATTCGTCAAAATTTTTAACAAGAGAAGCAATATTTAAATGAAAAAGAGAAAAATTATTTTTGTCGATGTTAGAAGAGTTAAAACTTTCTATGTCCATATATTTACAATAGGGTTTTCTTCGAGATTTACGTCATTGTCATTGTTGTTATTAAGTTGATTGGAAATAAAATCATTAAGTTCATTATAAAGATTAGACTGTATGGTGTTTGGGAAAGATGATATGTTGTTTTCGAATTCATTAATATGAATCACTTTACCATTTATTATTTGCAGGTGCAGCTCCATATCTGATAAAATACTGAATGGAAAAATTTTTTCCCTACATGAAATACAGAACCAAGATGTTTTAGAGTTTTTCAATATTCTAAATTCAATATCATTCAGACGACAACATTTTTTATGAAAAAGGTTTAGGCAATGATTACATTGAAGGTAGTGATGGTTTTTATTAATTTTCTTGAAGCAATCTTTGCAGTGAGTAGACATTTAAGTGGTACAGTTTATAAAATGAAATGATTGAATAAACTGAAATAAGGAAACAAAGAGTAATATGAACAGCAATATAACCAAAAATAATAAAAATAATAATAGTATTTATTAACAATATAAATATAATTCAATTGATAAAATAGTAAAACAAAAATAATATTTATTTAACAGTTAAAATAAATAATGAAAAAATACTATTAATAAAGTAAAAGAAGAATAACAAAAATATATATTAAAAAAAAGTTATAATTGGTTAAATGATAAGTTGTAAGTATAAAATAAAACAATTTATATTAAAATAATAATAAATTATAAATGATTATAAGTAAAATATTATAGTTATAATAAGTGGAAAAAATAATAATAAATTATTAAGTTTATACTTAGTATTATAAGTTAATAAGTAAAACTATAGTAACTAAGCTAACAAACTATATAGATATATAAAAATGATAATAATAATACTAGTAGCAATAATAATTATTATAATAACAATAATAAAAACAATAATAAGTATATATAATAATAAACAATATAAATAACAATAAATAATATATATATATATATATATATATATATATATATATATATATATATATATATATATATATATATATATATATATATATATATATATATATATATATATATATATATATATATATATATATATATATATATACAGGACTTAATTTAATTTTTTTATAAGGTCCCAGACAAAATGTCCAATCAAATTTTTGAAATAAAATTTGAACAAATATTTACATATATTCATATTTGTTTAGTTAAAAGGAAAACAGGAAAAAGAAAGTTCTTTAAATACCGAGAGTAAAAAAGTACTGCAGATGGGTTTGCTTAGACTAGCTACTGGCATATCTGAGTTTTACGGAACCCAATTATCCAATCGAAATATATGTTATGTTTTCCCAGTTTATTTTATTTTATTTTTCCCAGTTTATTTTATTTTAGTGAAGTTGTAGTTTTTTTTCTTAATATTCAGAATTTTTATCATCGTGGATCTTTGTAATTTAAATAAAATAGTTTAAATTCAATACTGTGCATTTTTTTAGATAGACTTGTTTCATTGAGTTTTTTTCTCTCGAAAACCTTGTTAGTTTACATCGAATTACATTACCCGTTTATAAAAATTATTTAAATTATTTTACTTAACAAAATATAATATGCTAAGTGTCAATTTTGCGCATAAGCTCCACTTTTAGCGTCAAAAAGGTGGCGTTAAAAATATATGCGTCAAATATATATTATACTTTTATATTCAAAAATATAGTCAAAAATATATTATACTTTTAGCGTCAAAAATACATGGTGTTTATGTAACTAATTTTATCAGTAATTAAAATGGCAAGAAAACAAGTTTGTTATAGTAATATAGTATAATAATGTCTTAAATGTATTAAATACTAAGATAAACATATTATTTTTAAACTTTATATAAAAAAATAAATCAGATTTCATTAGGAGCCATCAATAAAGTACGTACGCAGGTATGGGGGGAAGGGGTTTCCCAAAAGCGTACAAACGCGTACAAGGGGTGAGGGGGTGTTAAAGACAGTGAGTACGCACGCAATTTGAGTACCTCTCTTAAACTTGATTTTTTATTTTTTTTTAAACATATTTCATGTGTGTAACAAATTAGAATTTTGCTTTTTTCCTGACATCAGTCAAAAAAATATTTTTCAATTTCTTTATAAATTATGAAAAAAAAATCGAGTTAGTTTTGAAAAAAAAAATAATGCATACGTATGCAGAGGGGGAGGGGGTCT